AGTATTTTATTTTTCCCTCATTATTGGATGCAAAACCCAAATGAACTTGGCCTAAAACATGTATTTCATTGTGGTCCCACATCGGTTAAAAATAACTTTTAACTTTCCTTTATATAAAGAATAGTGAAAGTATTCAGGTGCATTGCAAAGAGGGCCCACTGGTAATTAATAGTACCAGCGAGCATTCTTTGCAATAATCCTCTTTTAAAACCCAGAATTCCTGGCCCAAAATATGAATTCTACTTTTCTCCCGCATCGAATAAGAATAAGGAGTGAGGGTGGTTAATATAAGTGGATTTTATTAGAAACAACTGCCAAGCAAGGGGTGACCGTGAAATAAAGGGTCCCAACCAAGCGTTTGGAGTCTGGCTAGGTCACTATCACACTTTTCCTTGGCCTTCTCTTGTTTTTGATTCTTCGGACTTACGAGTCTGAAGATATCATCAAATATTCCTCTAAAGTAAGAAGCTGAGGATACTACCCATTGCAGATCCCATGAACCCGGCAGCATCACTGAATTCCTCTCTGGCTCATAGCCGAGGAACTCTATACCTCGGACCTCAAGAGTCCGACACAATACAATTCCTCTCTGGCTCGTTGCTGAGGAGCTCTATGCCTAGGACCTTAAGAGTCTGACACAATACAATTCCTTTCTAGCTCATAGCAGAGGAACTCTATGCCTCGGACCTCAAGAGTTCGACACAATACAATTCCTCTCTGGCTCATAGCCGAGGAACTCTATGTCTCGGACCTAAAGAGTCCGACACAATACAATTCCTCTCTGGCTCATTGTCGAGGAACTATATGCCTCGGACCTCAAGAGTCCGACACAATACAATTCCTCTCTAGCTCATTGTCGAGGAACTCTATGCCTTGGACCTCAAGAGTCCGACACAATACAATTCCTCTCTGGCTCATAGCCGAGGAACTCTATGTCTCGGACCTCAAGAGTCCGACACAATACAATTCCTCTCTGGCTCATAGCCGAGGAACTTTATGCCTCAAACCTCAAAAGTCCGACCCAATACAATTCTTCTCTGGCTCATAGCCGAGGAACTTTATGCTTCAGATCCCAAAAAATTGAAGACGCTAACGCAGTCCTCTAAGGCATATACCATTATTAAAGAATTTAACACTTCGGACCTCAGGAGTCCGAAAGAACGCCAATGGGTCTGAACCCGAATGAGGGCAAACATTCTTCATGGAGGTCACACTTCCAGGCCCTAGTATGTGGCCTAATAGTGTTAGACCCATCAAAAGTTTGTCCCACATCGAAATAATATAAGAAAAATGAGTATTGAAAGAATAATATAAGAAACAATAGTGTTAGACCCATGTAGGTTAAGAGCAAGAAGGGTTCCCTTGACGGTTAGATCACTGAAGGATAGAACACTCCTCAGGTAGTGACCGAACTGTCATAGGAACTCCCTTCTTACCATTTTCTTGTTTTTGCTTCGGATCGTAAGGAGTCCAAACCCTCTAAAGAAAGTGAATCTTTCTCATGGACATGCAAATTGCTTAGCAAGCATATGTAGCTTAGAAACATTCGTAGACATGCAAATTTTCAAAAAGAAAATATATAAAATTATAATAGCTACTGTCTACAAGCAAAAAATAAATTGTTTCATAGCAAATATTACACAAATTCACTTCCTTTTTGGATCAAAAGGAGAAGATTCAAACGCATCAACCGCATTTAGGTTGGAAGCTGTGTCTAGAAGGGTTGAAGGGATTGGAACTGGTAAAACTAAGGAGCTCGAGACTAGAGGATCCCCTTGATGAGACTTCACCATCTCAGCGAACAACACCTCAGCTTCTTGGGCCTTCGGACCCTCAACATAAAGGAAGGACACCTCTATGTCCATATTAAAAGCATCTGGATCCTTTGTTTTATTACCTGAACCTTAAGTGAAGCCATACCGGAAGGCTTTTGCACTAGACAGGCACACCAATACTGAATAGCTCTCCTGCATCTACTTCCTAGCAGTTGTGCAAGTGTTGACTGCATCCCTCTAGCGCAAGTTCTCAGCTTCCAGCTCCTTCATCTTAGCCTCAGCAGCTGCAAGATGACTCTTGTAGACATCTCTTGCATCAGAAGCCATCTAAGCATCCGCAGTCTTATGGACTAGTTTCTTCTCAGCAGAAGTAAGATCCCTCTCCAATTTCCGGATAGAAATTGATTGAGCCTTAGCAGTGGCGTCATAATATGGTACAGGCTCTACATAGTCAACAATAACAATGATAGTGTAAATAGAGTGGAAAAAAAGATGAGGAAATAACAAAGAACGGAAAAGGAAAAACCTCCACAGCTCGAACAAGGGCAGAAGGGAAAAGCTGCTCTAGCCCCATGTTGCTTATAATCTCCTCGTCCTTAGGTAACCACATCCCGCGTGCAACTACCAATGCAGCAGATGGATCAGTGACTACCGAATCTCTTGAATAGATTTGTCAGCTCTGGAGATGGTTGGCTTTCGAGCTTCTCCTTTATCCGCCAAGATAAAGGCCTGAACCTCCTCTTTAGGTGCCACCTCCTTGTTTGTGTTTCCTTTTTTCTTCCTAAGGTCAACACATTTGCCTTTGGAAGAAGAAGGAGGGTTTTTCTTAGTTTTCTTAAGAGGAGGTTCATCAACCTCTTTCTCATGCTCAGTCGAGCGCACAACTGCAAGAGGTTCATTGGCTTTCTTCTTCAGAGCTTTGGTTCTCCATTTCTCTTCCTCAGTTAGAGGAAAGCTGTCGAAAGAAGGAACTGCCAAATCCATGAGCTCAGTAGCTGAAGCACTAGAACAATTTCCTTAAGATTGGATGAAGAGAGTAGATCCTCAACTAAAGAGGGATTACTCCAAACTTGCTCTTCCAGGAAACCGAGCCTCTTTCTAGCTACAGAGGAGGGGAACGTAGCTGAAAAAACACCAAGAAATTTTTAAGTATAACGAAAGAGTATAACTTGACAAGGAAAGCAACCAGAGCATTTTTTATGAAGGGAGGGAAAACATTTTGTACCCAACTTCCCAAATTTGCGAGGGATTGGGAGTTTGTTCAATTAATGTACAAACCAGTTCCCTTTAACTATTATCATCTTCTCTTTCTACTTCTTCTCGAAAGAAGGGAGGTCCTTACATATCCTTTGTTGAAGAGAGGAAGTAAAATAAAAACAGTCAGGCTCGGTCCCATACCTAGAGATGGGGTAAGTAATCAGTAGGTCAGCAAGAGTCAAGTCAAGACTCTCTAGTCTTCGGTGAACAAGAAGAGCCAAGACTATCCGAAGAAAGATAGGGTCTACTTGAAGAGGGTTAAGACCTAACTTATTGAAGATTAAATGGTAGAAGGGGTGAAGAAGAAAACGAAGAGCATTAAGGTGCCCGACTGATAAAAGCAATTCATTCTCTCCAACGCCCTCGCTTGAACTGAAATCAACCGTCCTTGGGTATTCAACAATTTCTACCCCCTTGGGGATTTCAAATTCCTCTATTACAGAGTCAATGGTGAAATCGAGACATCGAATAGACAAAATCATTTCTTTCTCCTCCTTAGTGAAGATACTACTCGACCCAGAGGTGGATATTTCAGCTTGAGGTAAAGAATCATCCTTTCGATTGGCCAAATCGCTCGCAGATTCAAGAGGGTTAGAAACCTTAGGAGGAGGAACCCTAATGAGAGTAGGGGAAGATGAGGGTGTGGAGTCAGAATCTACAATGTCTATGTGATCGTGAGTGGATGAAGAGCTCATGATGCGAATGAAATCAGAAAAGTGAATGAGGGACTAACTTGTAATTGCGTTGAAGCAATGAGCATAATGAACGTAGTGAGGCCAAAAGCAAGTTGCAAAGAAGCTCTTTGGTCAGAATGTCAATGGTCGCTCCTCGAAACCGCCTCTTACAAAATTGACAACTGTTCAACTTTAATTCCCTTCTAATTAGGAGCCGTAGTCCAACTAAAAAGGGAATTCGCGGCAAAGTGTGAAGGGAAAAATCCCCCTCCAATAAAAGCCAACCACATAGCCACAACATAAGTCTTATTTTTAATCTCTCGGTGGGTTACAAAAGCCTAACCCTGTTCAAGCCCAGATAAAATCACTAACGGCCCAATATCGCCAATATTAAACTTCCAGCCCGATAATAAAGTCAGTTGGACCAAGTTGCATTCGGCCCAAATTTATTTAAAGACAGAACCAGTCCTACCAAATAAATGATCCTTCATACAAGGAAGTTCTACATAAAGAGAATCTGGCATAGAAAGAAGTAGAAAAGGGAACAACATTATAGAAAGAAACATTATATATGGAATATATTAGATGGAAAGCAATGCGAGTCCTACCATAATTCCACCATCTTTTTGTATAAATAGAAGCCTAAATCTCCAATAAAGATCATCAAGCAATATACGCTTTTCTCTAAATAATTATTGTTGTCTATTATTTATTTTATTTGAGTGAGTTGTATTCTTTTCTTTTAACTATTTTAGATGAGTGAAATTTTGTACCAACAGTATAGCATGTGGAACCGGTAGCCAAAGTTAGTACCAGTTCAGTTTAGAAAAATTCTATTTTTAGAAACTTTGAAAAAACATACCATGTAAGTATAGTGTCCTAAATGGAAAACTTCCTAAAATATTGTTCATTCCTTTTTCGTAAATCATGGTTTATCAATCATTTGGAAACTTTCAGAAAAACGTACCATAAGTATAGTGTCCTGAGTGGAAAACTTCCTAAAATATTGTTCATTCCCTTTTCGTAAATCATAGTTTATCAATCATTTGGTACCTTAAAAATTATAACTCCATCAATTTGTTTCGACACCAAAATTAACCAATTACAAAAATTATATCTCACATCATACACACATAAATAATTTGCTTGCTATCAATTTCATTCCAAATAAAAATAAAACATGCCAATGAAAATACACGTTGATGTGGAGACGTGAAACCATTACATGACTTGAGTAACATTGTAAAAGAAAAAAAACGTTGGAACCCGTAAAACAATGTAGGATATAAGTTCATTTTAAGTGAAAATTTGATCCTCATGGCTCATACTCATAAGAATAAATTAGTTATTTAAAGGTTTACTTACAAAAAGGAGCCAGTAATTGAAAATTAACGAACCATCCAAAGACAAATGAAAAAGAAAAAAAATGCAGAATTCTAAACCAAATCATCCACCGTCCATTCACAACCCCAACTGGCTTTGCACCTCCAGGATAGCCTTAGCCGAGTCCCTAAGCTTTTGTGCCTCCATCTCAGTAAGATGTATGTTGGTGACACCCAAAATCCCACTCCTCCCAATCTGTGCTGGTAGGCTCAGGAACACATCCCCGCCATCAATTCCATAGAACCCCTTCGCAAGCACCGACACCGGGTGGATCTTCCTCTGGTCCCTCAGTATGCTCCGAGCCAGGTTAGCCGCCGAGTACCCGATTGCCCAGGACGTGTAACCTTTGAGACTAATCACTTCATAGGCACTCTGTACAACTTCTTTGCGAATGTTCTCTAGTTTTTCCTCCTCGTATGGGATTTGCTGCCTATCCAAGAAGCTCAGCACCGGCACTCCTCCAACGCTTATGCTCGACCACAATGCCACCGAGCTGTCACCGTGCTCGCCCACAATGAACGCCTGGTTTTACCATTGCCAAGAAAAGAGTATAAGAACAATGTGCATAATTAGGAACCATTTCGCATGTTTATTTTTTACTTTCCTCAAAAGTTCAAGCAAATGCGCGCGTACACAATATGAGACAGGTACTTCAAATTTCTGTTTGGTTTCACAGAAAAATGATTCATGAAGACCTTTTCATATAAAAAATTTGGAAAAGTAACTAATGCTAATGAGGAGAACATATAGAGCAAAAAGTAGAATATTTGCCCGTGCTTGCTAATGAAAGGGCCTAATTTTAATAAGTTCATAATGCGACCTTTACTGGACCACCTAACATGGAAGAAATCAAATTTAATTGGATATATGTTAATTTTAAATTTTTCTTCATGTTTTATAAAAAAAAGTACCACCATAAATCATTGATTTTTTTATTTTCTTAATGCAAGTTGTATTTATTTATTCCAAAGTTTCAAATTATAAATCATTGAACTCTAATCCAACAATGACATCACCAAAACACCGACCTAATTACAAAAAAAGCTACCCATAAAATAGTGACCTATAAATTATTATTTTTTTGGTAACTAAGAATTTACTCACTTTGAAATCTCAAATATGCAATCACTGAGCCACAGTGCATATTAACCTTATAAATCTTTTTTTTTTTTCCTCTAGTTCTAACACAAACCCAGGGTGACCTAAATGTCATTTGCTTCGAGTTTAGATTTTTTCTGGTAACTGAAACACAGACACACAAACATAGTAAGTAATTAAGAGAAACGGAAAATAAATTGTTACCTGCACATCTTGAGCATTGACATCAAGATGATCCGCAAGCAGAAACCGAAACCGGGACGAGTCCAGGTTGGTGCCCGACCCAATCACCCGATTCGGTGGGAACCCGGAAAGCTTCCAAGCAACATAAGTCAACACATCCACCGGATTGGACACGATCAACAAGATCGAGTCGGGCGAGTGCTTCGCGAGTTGCGGAATGATTTTCGAGAACAGAGAAAGGTTCCTCTGTATCAGATTCAACCTCGACTCGCCGGCGATCTGACGAGCACCAGCAGTGACGATACAGAGGTCCGATCCGGCGGTGACCGAGTAGTCGACGGAGGCGAGGATCCGTGTCCGGGGGAGGAACGCGGCGGCGTGCTGGAGATCGAGCATCTCGCCGCGGAGCTTGTCGGGAAGTGCGTCAACGAGGGCGAGCTCGTCGGCCAAGTCCTGGGTGAGGATGGTCTGGGCTATGGCCATGCCGACGTTGCCGGTTCCGATGACGGCGATCTTGGTGTGGCGCTTGGTGGGTGAAGGTGGGGCTGATTTGTCGATTGGGGTGAAGAAGGCTCGCGCAATGTCGAGGCCTCCCGGACCCAGAGACGACGATGAACCTGTCTTGTGCATTTTGTTAGATATCACTCACTTTCTCTCACTAGAAATTTTCTCTCTCTAAGTTGGGGAGAGACGGAGGTGGTGGCTACGATTATATAGAAAAGTGAGGAGAGGAAGAAGGAAACAGGAAAGAGGGAGTCTGGTTTGGTTAAGACCAGATTTTCCTTTCTGGTTATAGACTTTTCAGGGGTGATTAAAGAGAAAACATGCTTAAGGTAACATAGTCCCACCAGTCACAATTTAACACGTATCGAATTGTAATTAGCGGAACCCAATTAAAGCACAGGCATTTGCTCTAACTTACTATAAATAAGTATATATTTTTTACTATATACATGTACTTATACGGTAATTTTAAATAGTATTTCCCTAAGGTATTCAAGTCCCTCTAACCTCCTTTTGAGAACAAAAAAGAAAATTACATATATCTCCTTTTTCAAGTACACCACATATTTTTTCTTTTTTAATTTTGTTTCTTTTTTCAAAAAATTTCTTTTCTCATTTATGTATTGTTCCATTTTTTTCACTTGTGATTGTATTTAATTAAAGTATTATTAATTCATATTTTGATTCTTATATTTGTAATTATATTTTTTTCACAATACTTATTTAGTATATTATTTTACAACTTTTTTTTTTTTTTTTTGCCTTTTGATTTAAAAAAAATTATATTTGTCATAATTGTTGATTTTTTTTTTTTAATAAATGCATTGTGCCTTCTCTAAAATAAAATTTTGGCTCCGCCCTTGACTATAATTATAAATTTTATTAATTTTCTGATTACAAATTCAAGGTATTGTGAAAAATAATATAAATATTAACAATAATGTAATGTATATTTTTAAAACAAAACAAATTGTGTTCGGAGTAGGGTGGAATGGAAAACGTATAAGTTAGAGCAGATTAAATGATATTTTTTAATCTTATAGTGTTATTCTATCTAACTTATTATTATTTTATTTAAAAAAATCATACAATATTATATAATTTAGTATTACAAATGAATCAAGTTGGTGACAAAAGATTTCTGGTTCAATATGTTTTGGTCTCATTTGCTAAACAATTACTCAAAAAATTCATATGAAAATCTTATGATTCAATAACATGACTCATTTATCAGCAATTACTTGAATTAAATTATTTTGATCTCAATTTAAATTTTAGCTCAAAATTAATTACAAGAGTGTGAATGTAATTGTGAGCTCTACAAACAATGTGGGAATAGAGTTCCAAGCCTCCAACTCTGAGTTTAACTTTAAATCTAACTAGAATTTGGTTTTTAAATTCAGAGGTCACACACCCACTTTGTTAACTAAAATCTTCAAACTTATAATTTTAAAAGTGAATTTCTGAGATAATAATAATAATAATAAATAAATAAATAAATAAGTGAAAAAGTAGCAAGAAATGAACATTAAAAGTGCACCCCCAAGTGGGGCCTTTTTCTTTCTAGATCTTTATTTGTAGACGGCTGCCAGAAAAGTCACATGGTATATGCGTGATGCGCACTCCTCATTATGCGAGGAACTTTCCCTACACGACCAGAAAAGATCTAGATTCTAGAAGTTTTGTCCATTCGTAAGTCACCAAAACATCGTTTCTCGATGCACAATCCAAATTTGTTGTAATGGACCAAAATTTAAATTTTATTCATTTTTTATTTCCTTGAGTCAATTCATATATTTTTTTAATGTTGCACGTAAATTATAGAAGTGCAGTGATATTCACACTGAATATTACAGTTAGTTATCTAAGCAAATAATTTTTAATTGGACTATTTATACTAAATATAACTAAATAAAATATTCTACTTTCTTATTTGTTGCATAATTGATTAGTTAAAAATATAAACCTAACACTTCATTATACACCGGAGCGATCTTGATCTCAGACAAGGATAGTCTTTGCTTTGCCCTAGACTAAACATTGTCTTTGTATCTGTTGGCCTTGGCCCAGTGTTCTAATTCATTGTTTGCTTTTGTTTGCTTGGGGCTAGCCCTATGCCTTTGGAAAGCTTTGTAAAGTTCTTTCATCAATACAATAATTACTTGCCTTCCAAAAAAAAAAAGAACAAAAAATGTGTCTGATGTTGTAAAATTTCAAAAAGTAGAGAAAAAGGAAGAAGTGTTGTCGGTGGAATAATGAGAAACACACTCCACGGTTACTAGGGGCCGCCGCTAATGGTATATATTTTAGACCTTGAACTAATTCAAACCACGTTTTTCCATTTTCTTTTCATGGAAAATGAGGGCCTTTATTACTTTATATCGTTTGTTCCTGAAATGTCCTCTCGGATCACCTTGTCTACCTTCCTCTTAACGATTTAAATTTGAATTTTATCCAAATTTGCAATGCCTTTTTTGCAGTCAGACCTCCCAATCTATCTATCCCTCCTAATAACCCAGACTTAGACTCCATTTGAATGAGCACTTGGCTTGACATCGGATCAATAACCAACTCTGATACCAATTGTAACAGGAATACGCTTACCCTCACACAAAAGAAATTAAATTATTAAGTAATACTATATGATTGCCAATAACATATGCCCAATTCTTTTTCGGAAAAATTTAAAAATACTCTACTTAATTTTGTATAATTTAAAAAATGCTAACTTTTTCAAACTAATAGGTTTGATTACTAAATTTTTAAAACTAATTACAAAACTATACTAAAACACTGTTTATATTTTTTATGGTCCAAACTACCCTTCATTTTGTTTTTCTCACTCTAGCCTTCACACCGATGTTGTCATTTTAGGGCATAATTTTCTCCCTCATCTCCTGATACTCTCTAGGCGATCGATTTCACCATATCAAAGATCGAAGATGCTATTGATTTCTCGGAATATTATGCTATTGAATTTTCTTTTGACGATTGTATAAGTGAATGCATGATTTTAAGGAAAAAAAAACTGTCTGTCTGTCATATCATCCTGAGTAATGACCATATGTTTCTTCTTACCAGAAATAACTCTGGTGATGGTCTAAATGCAAAAACTTTTTTTTTGTATGAGTACTTTCTTTTGGAAAGATATATGCTTCATGTGACATTTAAGATATAACAAACCTTATACTAATATGTCATTAGATAATTAACAATATGCTAAGAAATCATTAATTAAATATGCAATTCTATATTTAATTAAATATGCAAAATAAAGCAATAAAATAATAATAATAAATAAAGAACCTGGACCGAGGCTAGTATTGGATACTATATCCTTAAGACAGATTTGCCCCGCTATGGTACTAACGGACTTAGTAGCGTCTATCTCCCAGGATACAACGGTCTACATCCACCAGTAACAGCACTACAAACTCGTAGATAGGGCGAACATTCTCCGTGTAATACTCTCTCTGACTCAAGAATGCATCTATACTATATAAATACTGAATTTGGTGCAATCCGAACCAAATGGTTCGGACCAATCTTAATATGACTTGATGAAATTGAATTAGAGTCTAAGTGGTTCAGACCACTTAACCTATGGTTTGAACCCACTTGGGTTGGGTTCAAGTCTAGAGAGAGAGATAGAAGAAATTAAAAAAATGAATGATTTGCAAATGATCCAAATAGGGGTATTTATAGGCAACAAGGTGCCTTTTCGGATTGGGTGCAACCCTTTGGAAAAAAACTAAAAGGTAGTTTTTAATTAATGTGCCTTTTCGGATTGGGTGTGTCTCTTCATCATTGGACACAACCTTTTATATGCGTCTCTTCACACTGGACACATCCACTCCAATTGGTTGCAATGGTTCACATAGTGTCTGTTCACCAATAGATACATCCACTCCAATAGGTTGCAATGGTTCATATAGTGTCTGTTCACCAATAGACGTACACATCCACTCCAATAGGTTGCAATGGTTCACATGAATAGTTATGTCTGTTGGTTTTGAGTTGCAACCCTTTAAAAACAGATGCAACTCTTTAAAAAACAAATACAACCCTGTAGAAATAGATACAACCCTTTGAAAAAAAAAACTAACTTTTAATTTAAATTCAAAAACTAACTACCATTTAAATAAGTCCAGTCCAAAATTAAAGGCCCAATCCAAGATTCCATTTAGTAAAAAGAATAATTGGACTTTACAATTAGCCCCAAGCAATTAGGCCCAAGCCCAAATTTGGCTTATTTAAATTTCAATTAGTTTCAACATTTTTTCCATGTGAGACAAACACTTCTCACATTTTGCATACCTATATAGGGTTATCAAAAACCACACTTTGGAGCTAATTTCTCATTCATCCGGAAACGAAATTTGAGAAAGTAAATATACCACGTTCTTCTCCTTGCGGAGAGAAACGCGCTCATCTAGAGATCCGTAAAAAATTATTAGCGGAATCTATTCCAAACCTCATCCAAAGTTTATGTTTTTAATGCCCCCATTTCCAACACTTTCCAGATCCACATATCCAATAGCTGAAGATTAGGAAGAAAACTTGCCTAAATAAATGATAGGAGGCCTTCTTCAACGTACTGTTATTATATCTACAGTTCAGTTTAATGTTTTCTCCATTAATACATTTTAGGGTAAAGTGCACTAAACCCCCCTAAACTATGCCCCAATTGCAAGAAACCCCCCTGAAGTAAGTAAAACCCCCTAAACTATCACTTTGTTGCAATAGTTAGTAAGCCGTTAACAGAAAATGTAAATTACCATTTAGCCCTTAACTTAAATAACGCCGTTTTGTGTTATATCCAACTTTATAGCAAAATTGGGTGTAATGTACAAAAATACCCTCATTTGAATCTGCCACCTCATAATAACTAGGCATTTATGTAATTTTAAAAAACTTACAAAGCTAACTACTCTCTGCATCTCTCCTCCCCTCTCTTCCCCCTTCATGTTTTTTCTAAACCCTAAATAAATGTCGCCGCCGCCGCCGCTGCCGCCATATGCCCAGACCAACGCCACCACGATTTGAGCAAGCTTTTGCCATTGACGCGAAAATTCGATGGGTTTGACAGCGCCGCCATATGCCCAGACCAACGTCGCCAGAATGAGCTCGCTGCGACGATGAGCTCAGAATGTTTGAATGGTCGGCGGCCAAGAGCGTCGACGTAACCATTGGTGACAAACGACAAATGTGGTAAAAAAGAAGAATCGATGATACGAGAGCTTGAACGGTGGTGGAAAATTAGCTGACCGGTGATGACGCAAGCAGG